AGGGCAATATTCAAATATATTGCTCAAAATTTAAATGGACTCATTTTAGTTCATGGGACAGTGGGAATGAATGCAAAATAATGGCTTTCACAGAAATTGTCAGGGGTCTGTCTTGCTAATACGGGGAAGAGGAGGAGGGAAAAATCCTTGAACTTAGTGATGGTTTTAATATCAACATGTGTGACCTACAAATGACATAGAAAGTCTAGACATATTTTTTCCCCAAGTTTCTGACGGAAACCAGTATCATTTCATTTTCAAAGAGCAGACATAAAAAAACAACATAAATCAATTTGTTTAAGAAAAGGCATCAAGAAACTTTTTAGGTCTTAATATATTACTGAGTGTAACTGCATGGTAGAGCAATGGCATACAGTGCTGAAACATACACTTGTACAATGGTTGATGATGACCCCTAGAGTTATGTGGTATACTATCTCATGATCATTTAATATCCATGACTGACTGTCTGTGAGTCCAGCACTGCTGGCCACCTGGGATTTGTTTTAAGTGGACTGCCAAGCACTGCAGCAGATGCTGCAAACTGATGATGAATGTCAAATCATTAGTATAGCTATTTTGCTGTTCTTCCTATCATAAGGGAGAGATTTTTTAAAATCACAAAGGCAAAAATAACTCTGTTACTGCTGTCTCTGGAACTGAAGATCCTTCTCCTTCCTTTTTACAAGATAACATGAGTTCATAAGAGTTTTTAAGTAATGGAACTGTTTAAAGAACATACAAAGCACACAGGATTGCAATTTAGTTAATCTATTAGTTTGAATTTTAAATCCTAAAGAGATACCTACCTAAATGTTTAGGTCCCAGAATATCATTAATAATACAATAAAATAAAATCCCAACAGTATTAAATAATAATTTGAATGGGAACTTGGCCAGTTGAACACCAATTCCCACCCCCTCTTCATTGTTTGGAGATCATAGCCACTCCAGAAACCCAATCAAACAAATGTCATATGCACTGTGCCCAAAGTGATCAGTGTCCTCACAGAGAGCACCCTGTCCCTGTCAGCTCACTTTTCTTTGACAGTGCAGGGGAATGAGCTCAGGCTTAATTGAAAATATTTGTGGGGGGTTAGTTCACAGCCAGGGACCTACCGAATTCATGGCAGAAGTAGAGTGCATGGCAGCTCCTTTAATCTTGCATGTTCCCCGGCATGCACCTCACCCCTTGGTCCCCCATCCTAACTGCTGATTAGCAGAGGACCCCACTGCCCCCTCCTGATCACCAGGGATCCTGGTTTTCTCTGATACAAAAAAATCCTCAATTTTTGGATTTAAAAAAGTAACTCAAAATCCATGTTTTCCCCTGATCAAAATAAAACGCCACTATATATATATATAGAAACTTATGCAACCTACCTACCAACCACATACACCTGAATTCCCTATACTTTTTTTACATAGTGTGTATATATATAGTGGTGTTTTATTTTGATCAGGGAAAAATGTGGTTTTGGGATTACTGTTTTAAAGGAGGGAAAGTATATCTATCTATCTATCTATCTATCTATCTATCTATCTATCTATCTATCTATCTGTATATGCATGTGTGTATGTGTGTATATATATCTAATTAGTGGTGTTTCAATTTAATCATGGAAATATGTGGATTTTGGGTAACTTTTTTAAATCTGAAAATTGGGGACTTTTTTATCAGAAAAAAAACAGGATCCCTGCTGATAAGCAGGGAGCTAAAACCATGGTTTCAAACATGGCACAGTTTAGGCCTCCCCACCAGTCAGCAGCAAACAGCAGGGCCATCTGTGCCCCCTTAGTCAATTAGTGGTGGGAGACAAAAATGGCACCATATTTAAAACCACAGTTTTCACGTCCCCGCTGACCAGGAGCAAGCCACAAATGGGGACCCTCCACAGAACTGCAATAGAAAAGTAGAAACATATAACAGGTTTCCATCATCCTTCTGAAAAAAAATACTGGAAAAAACACAGTATATGTTTCCTTACTAAACTAAATCTCTGAATGACATTATGCATACATTACAATTTACAGAAGGGGTCATTCTGAACTGAATGCCATCCTTGAGACCCACAGTTAATAACTCTTGAATATAGTTATACACTGAGATTTCTGAGATAAAAAAAAAAAACCCTAAATATTAGTCATTAAAAAGTAAACCTGTACATGCCATCCAAAATCTGAAAGCAGATCAACAATGACTGACAATATTGAAGGCAGTTGATAGATCCAATAATAGAAGCATGGACAGCTGAGCCAGAATTTTAATACCTCTAATAGCAACATAAGGTTGCATGGACATGTACCTAAATGTGATTTTAATTCCCCTTTTCCGCAAAATGAATCACACTTATGTGCATAGATTTAACTACAAGAGGTGCATAGTAGTCCTACATACCCTGGAACAACTCTCTCATATACCCTTAGCTGTCTTGGGCAAATCTGTGTAGGCTAGAAAATGTTGGTATGCATAAAGCATGAGTAGCAGTTCACCTTCACTACAGCCCATGGTGAAAGCTGGCATCTATTCATTCCTGAGACCTCAGCTACTACTATTATGGAGCCAGATGAAGGGGCAGGAAATGGGCAGGGAGCTGGATGAGGGTCCCAAGGGTTGTAGTTTTTCAAGCCAGAGTAGATGACTGTGAAATAATAATAAATATTTTTTTAATCCCCAAGCTCCTGAAGTAGATTCGTCAATGGTGTGTCCCTTCATGGGACTGTTGACATGTGACACTGGCATTCTCTTGGGAGACTATTAGAAAGTAGTGAGGCCTCAGGGAAGGATGGGAGGTAGGAGCAGAGGTCTGTGCAGAGTCAAATCGTGGCCTAGATCTGTGAGTGCACATGAAACTGGGGACTCATCTCCTGGTGGGGCAGCTTGCAACTTGTCCCTGACTTTGTCCCCTGCTGGGCCCTGTTTTCTGTGCCCACTCAGGCAACTAAGGCAAGATGATATGACTAGATGACTGCTGCACTTATTCTGCCTCCTGAGCATCAGCTGCAAAGCTTCAGTCTCAAAAATACTATTGGCTGCAGGGCTTATGGAAGATTTACATGAAGGTGAGGCACCAGGCAAAGGCCTCCTGGTCAAAACTTGCACTTACCTCATCCGTGCCTTGCTGGAGATTTGTTGTTTCTCACTGCCTCAGGTGTCTCCACTTCAGGGCTGGACCTCTGATCAGGTCCACCTCCAGCTGCAAACTGTATTGGCTAGTGTTGCAGGTATCCTCACAGGTGGTCATGTTCAGCAAGAGTGGTCTGCAGGTCAACTTCCCCTTTTGGGTCTCCTGATTCTGGACATAAAATCATTAATGGCATATAGTTTCTGGGGAATAAAGATGGGATGGCCTTCCAGGCATTTTTGGCATCCTCTTCACCTCCTTGGAATGGGCTTGGTCTTCTCCAACAGCAGTCCTACTACTATGCATGGTCAACTAGATTCCTGGGTAGGTAGTTTAACTTACCATCCAAGTATGAGCTGTGCTCCATGCTGGGAAATCTGGGAGCTACCTGCTTGTTCAGAGTACTGAAGTGCCCCTTTTGGGGTAGAGAAAGGTCTTTTGAAACAGCCTGTGTGCAGGTCCATCAGCTTAGTAGCAAGTAAGACAGTCCTGGCAATGCATCATTGCACAGGGGGAACACTACTGAAAACCCCTATAGGAGAATGGCTGTGTACTAGAACTGTGTATAAGAAATACAGGTACTAATACTTATAATGTGGGGCATTTATGCACCCCTGTGGGAAGCAGAATCACTCCTACCCATTGAGTGCTTACCTACACTTACCCAAAATCTACACTTTTTGCACCTTATGAGGATATTACAATGTAGTCCCTTATCTTCAACTATCACCAGAACTAGCTGATTAGCACTTGTCTACAACAACACTATAACATTAGAAGGTCTTTCTTAAGATTTATTAAGATTTTTGTCCACACTAGGTTTTTTGTGTTACTAACAACCCACATTTTGGCGTTGCCCTTACTGCAAAACACTTTAAATGAAACATCCATCCAGAGTGAATCATTTTGATGCAATATCCTAGTGAAGACAGGGCATAGGTTGCTTTTACTATTCAAAACATTTTATATCAGTTACAACAGTTTTGATAGACTAGCTGGAGTCTTTCCTTCCCACTCTCACCCAACAGTTTCACTCATTCTTCCTAGCTGCTTTCAGTTTACTTTTTTATTAATAACTTGGGAAGTAGTAACATTTCTATTCAATGACTTCTCTTGTCCCTAACCACCGATGGAAAACAGAGAATCCAAAGAAGCCATTAAGCCACAAATTACAGCTGCAAGGACTGCACTTCTTAAAGGACATGAGAAAAGGAGAAACAGAAGTAGAAGTTCAGGTAATCTATAATAGAGGGATAAAAGTTAATACATCTAAGAAACAATAAATATAATAAAATATTAGAGTAAATATCCTTATAGTATTATTTTCCTTTTCCCCCCTTATCCTTCCCTTGGGTGAATCCCATTAAAGATAATGGGAGTTATTCCATTTATTTCATTCAGTTCCAATCTCTTAAGAATTGTTTTCATAGTGGAAGCCTGGGCTGCATCCTTTTACTTCCCTTCCTCACCTGCACGCTGTCCCCACTTTCCTCAGTTTCCTTCCCATTTGCTACCTCCTATTCCCCATCTACCATCCTCCCTGTTGCCTTTAATAATACCGGTCTTGGGGGGAAAGAATGAAATTACATAATTAGATGCCATTTTCTAGTGGAAATGAATCCATTCTGGGATCTACATCGGTGGAGAAATATTGTGTAGTTCGAAGTACAAGGCATGAAATAATAATCTACTATTATAAATCATGTGGTGACTTATTGGTTTATCATAGCAATCTTTTCAAGGAGACAATGAGTGAAAGATTAAATTTAACTGTGTATAAAACTGATTAATGTATGGCTTAGTTTATAGCTATTTAGTCAGCTGTCCACATATATGTGCTCTGAAAAATCACAAAAACAAGTGAATTATGTTTGCTGTTTTTAATGATGCAAATAGATTGTATTGCCTTCTAGATGCAATAGAGGAAGGAACAGATGGTTTAATTCTCCTAGATATTAATACCCTTGAAAGCATTTGGGTTAAGTAAGAAAAAACAAATAACACACTACATAAATAAGAAAACATAATCCAGTAGCCTGCATTGTTTAAAAGAGCTCTGCATTCTTCTTGTTAGATTTTGTTTCAGAAGTGTATTCTTTGCCCATTTATTGTTGTTGATAGCTTCCTTTATTGTATTATCTTTCTCCAGGTAAAATGTCATCTCTTTCAAAGAATTTCAGTGTTTTTCTTTAGCACAATCTAGTAAGATCCTAACAGCAGTGATCCATGACTTGGAGATCATAAGGTGATTGATGGCTGCCCACAGGTCTGATAATGACATTGCCTGAAATGAAAATACAATTCATCTAGTGTGAAAAATACACTGATCCCTAAAGCCTCTGAAGTGTCATGTGGATGCCACATTGAGAAAAAAATTGTAACTCAATGGTGATTATGGTTCATGTTTGCCACAGTTAAATTTAATCTTTGAGGCAATATTTATTATAGTCTTGAGTACTTTCTTTATATACTGTAACATCCATAAGCAAAATTCATTGCCAACCAAGAGAGACCAAACTTATAAGTTACTATATCAACTTCTAAAAGTTAACGAGCAGCCTAGGGAGTTATGATTTACTGTCAGTCCACCAACAAATGTCAATAACCCAGCGTAGAGGAGGCAAGTGTCATATAGCCAGATTTGTGAACTTTTCACATTGCCATCTTGGAGACAGCAAACACAAAATTAGTCTATAAATAATTGAAGTCCCCCCGCCCCAAATCTATCACAGCATGTTAAAAGCAATTTTGTTCTTGAATTAGTTCTGTACAAGTAGTAAATATGTCAAAGAGTCTTTTAAATAATGCAACATATATAGTAAAAAATAAGAAGGATTCAGTAACAGTAGAACAAAATGAAAGAGTTAGAAGTGAAATAGGATATAAGAATTTATCAGTTATTATAGTTGCTTGTCTACAAAAGTAGGTTAGCAATTAGTGATAGGAATTTCCATTAAATATAGACAGTTTACATGCAACTTAATACCACTGTAAAGTACTGCAGCTACACATAGTTTCATAGCTGTTAGGGTCAGAAGGGACCTAAGCAGATCATCAAGTCCAACCCCAAAACAAGGACAGGCCAGAACCCAAGACCTCAGCACCCACACTGAATGGCCCAGCACCATGCACCACAGGACATTTCTGAACTGCTAGGCCTATACATTTACTTTAATGTGTTAACAATACAATATTTTGATTGAGCATGTAATTTCTTACTAAAATAGTTATACTGATAAACCCCTTAGTGATGGTGCAACTATATAGATATACTGGTGACCTGTATTGGTATTGTTATTCCCCTTCCCAGATGGAAATAAGTCAAGTCATACCAATATAGCTGTGTCCATGTTGGGGAGGGTAGATACCCTGATAACTACCCAGCGTATATTTCTAATTGCAGATGAACTTAAAAATCAAAATCTACCCCGCCTTCATGTAAGAAAGCAATGTGTATAGGGTGAAAGATAAGGAGCAATCTCCCATGAACCTTAAACTCATAAACTTATGCAACCTACCTTCTAACCAGATACACCTGAATTCCTTATACTTTTTTACATAGCACTCCAAAAGGGCGAAAAGAGGAGGAAGCAGCAATGTGAACAAAGGACATTTTTTTTTCATAAAAGGGAGTTCTTAAAAAAATTAAGTTGAGCTGTTGTGTCATGAGACAGTCACTGATGTAAGACTGAGATGAGCTGGACAGAACTGGGAAAAGAAGCTACCCTTGGGTGGTTCCAATGAAACAATACACTTAGAGTAAAAGTAGATATTGCCTTTGGGCCACCATAAAAAATTTTGACAGCAAATAGATGTCTGTACCTTTGGTCATGCCATATTGTGGCCATGAAAAAGGAATAAATTGAATAAAATGTACAACTTTGCTGTGATGGATATTTGTTTCCTTTATGGCAAGAGACTGCAGGCTGCCCACAGCTACCCTCACTCTTTTGCCATACCAAGCAGGTAGCTCCTAGGATTGAGGGGCCCAGGCCTGTGAACCTTGGTCAATTATTGCACAGGATAGGCCCTTCAAGCCTAAAGAGCGCCTACCCACCTTTCCCTGCTTCCAGAGATGCACCTTAGACAATCTCTGGGCCCATCCCTGGAAGGAGGGAAAGTCACCTCCAGAGACACACCTCAGAGATGCAGGGGAGGAGGGGGGGGGGGGGGGGCTTTTCGGGGAAGGCCCCCCCAAAGCACCCCCCCGGGGAGGGGGGGGGGGGGGGGGGGGGGGAGTGCATTTGTGGAAGTGGGGAAGGCTGAGACACTTTGGGGTGGTCCTAGTGTTAGGGCCACCAATCAGCAGATTGGCAGCCCAAGGCCTGAGATTACACTGGAACTTGCTCTGGTGAGGTCCCAGTGCTGAGATCACCAGACAGCTGAATCACCAATCATTCCAGCCCCAGAACCATGCCACAGTGTCACACTTGCTCTAGTGAGGTCCTAGAACTGAGACTGCCAAGCAGACAATGGGTGTATTTCTGCAAGGGGGAACATGTCATCCATTGTCCATCAAGATCAAGAGGTGAGACAATGGGCAATGTGTGTTTCATCCAATTAAGTGGACCAGCTGGGCGAGGACATATCCCAGCATATCTGATCCATTCATTTGATGATGTCTATTTCTAGACTTAGGCACATTTGTTCACAGGCAATATTACAGTATGAGTATAAAAACTGACCTTATCCCAGTCACTGTTTCTGTAACATTTCCCCAACTTTTAAACAGGCACAAACAATTTGTTCATATGATAATATATTTTTATAACCTGCCTACTGATTTTATAGTGCTATAAGGCCTAGTGAAATTACTTCATTCCATTCCCGAATACATGAGAAAATTGTAAACAGGGTTACTAGAAAGCTGAAAACATGGCTATTTAAAAAGTAAAGAAAAATGATTGAATCTTCACTTTAAAGTAAAGGTGCAGTATAAAAAAGAGCAAAAACAGTGTAAGTCATTTCCTGTACATAAACGTATTGGACATAAGCCAGAAGAAATGACAGTAGAACGGTAAAAGAGGCTCTTTAGGCTAGTTGTCATTAATTCTACTTATATTTTTATTGGAACAATAATGTGGAAATGGAAAAGATATATTCAAGAGCAATCAGAATAATACAGGGCACTTGAGCAAGTTTAAATTAAAAAATGTTGTAGAAGGTCCATGCGTTAAGGACTTATTCCTGCAATAAATTTATGCATGCAAGTAACTTTCTTAATGTGAATAGATCTATTTAAGCCTATCAGACTACTCTCACGAATGAAATTATTCAAAGCCTTAAGAGTTTGGAGGATTATTAGTATTTTCGCAAATAGGAAAACTATGTTGAATAATCCACTAAAAATCAAAGTAGGAGCTGGGGTGGATTAAGACAAAACAGGCTCTGAATGATGACTCATATCTCTGATAATCGCCTGGTCATTTTTCACAGACTTTTTGTCTGCCCCAAATCCTTGACCTTTCCCCCCTCAGCCTCCATTATATACTAAATTTAAACTTCACTAACAGACTTTTCTTCCCAGCACTTGAATCCCCTTCTTAATGTTGCCAACCCAAATCCTTTTCTTCCCAAATTGTCTTAATCCTGATTCTCATTTATACTAAACGCACCTTGGATCTATCAATTATATTCACAATTGTGTTATGGTTCCTTTGCATTGCCTTGGAAATATACATTGCCTTAAATGGGAATCAGACCCATGCTATTGAGTCAAGTCTCTGTCGAGTAACAGATTTGCTTTATTTAGCATTGAACAGGAAAAACTAAAATAGGTTTTATATGCAGCTACCTGTATGTCATAGTCAAGAATCATTGAAAGCCCAAGGGCCAGATCCTATTTCACCTATTAGACACCTAAGTGGACTAAGGCACTGAAGTATGATCCTATTGCATTCTTCTTGAGTTCCTAAAAAGTAGTTAAAGGAAAAGTTATTGCTGTTTTCTGACTTTTCTGACTTAGTCTTAAGGCTAAAATTCTGTTCTTTGGACAGATATGGTATCTTTTATTAGATCAACTAAATAGTTGGATAAAAATGTTCTTTGCAAGCTTTCAGGCACAAAAAATGTTCTTCAAGCATAAGGAGAGTCTGTTCTTTCTTAGTGATCTAAGGGACCATTTTTAATGATTTACAAGGCATTTTTACTATTTACACACCCAGAAGAATTCTATTACCAGACATGCATGGATAGCTATGAATGACTACATAGTTATGTAGACCAAGCATGCAAAATAACAGACATGATCCTAGTCACACAGCTTGTGGACCTGTAGCAGCTTTAAACGTGAAAGTAATGTCTACCAGACTGTAACAAGGACCCCTAATTCCTGCTATTTAAGAGGTAGGGAGCCCGCACCACAGGGCTGCAGTTAGGCAATTATCAAAGGCCATCTGAAGAACAGCATGCAGCCAGGGAACCCCTCAAGGGGTTAAAGAGGAACAGGGGAGAAGGCAGTGGATGTGGCTTGGGACTTAAGGTACAACACCTGAGAGCAGGCTGAGGGCTGAGCCATGTAACAAGAAACAATGGGGCCGCAGCCCATTACAAGCCTAGCTCCTGAGTCAGAGAGCTCGGTCTGCACCTGGATCCCCCTGCAAGCAGAACTTCTGCAGGCCTGAGATATAAGAGAGGGGAACTCAATCAATTAGGTACTTGAGGAGCTGCAAAAGAGCTAGTAGCCAAAGTGTAGAAGGCAGCAGGGACCTAGGAAGACCTAGAAGGGGTTTATTTGTAGCTGGCATACTGGGTGTGGCTACAAGGAGTGGCTAAGAAGTCACAGGGGTTCCTGAGGGACATCTGGTTACAGGGTCCTTCTGGGGTCTAGGACTCGGCTGTGTGAGGCTAAATTCCAAACTGCTTAGAGTCTGGGGATAGCAGCCATGTAGAGGGCCAGGGATTGGCACAGAGTGAGAGCAGCCTTGTCTGATCCAGGGTCACTGTGGGGCTGGGTTAAAACCACAACAGGGCTGAAGGGCCAAGGGACTGAGATAGGGATAAGGATCCTGGAGGCTGAGACACAGAGAGGGCTGAGACCAAGAAAGCTGGATCATAACAAGTGGGCCAGGACTGGATGTCTACAGCCAGAACAATGGAAAGCTAAAGCCAAGAAGGCTGAGGCCCTTGCAAAGGCAAAGAATAGTGAAAAAATAATATCTGCAGGGCATGTGTCACTGCAGGGGAGGATGGAGACCACAAATTTAGCTCTTAAAGTAATTGGGGCCAGTGGGGTTGGAAGGCCCAAGGCTGAGAGTGGATGGGTAGTGGGGTCAGAAACCCAAAGGTTTAGAGACTGTGTGCAGTGGGTCAGACCCTAAATTAGGCAGACCAAGTTGAGCCCAGGAGAAGAACTGAGTATAGAGAAAGAGCTCCCAGAGCTCACCAGCCTCTGAGAGCAGCCTCTCCTTGTTATTTTTAGCATCAAGGCATAACAGGGAAACTGGCTCCAACCCTGTTAAAGAGGTTTTACAGTACTTACCCACTGGGAGTCTGGGAAACAGTGCACAGGGAAATGGTAGCATCAGGCAGCATCTTTCAGTCTGTAAAACCCAACACCTGTAAAGATAAAAAAAGAAAATGAGCTGGAAATGAGTGGAGGGTGGAAAACAGCTAAAAACTGCCACAAGCAAGATTAATTTCCCAGGCAGAGGATGGAGAGAGAAGAAGCAGCCAGGCACAGTTGCTTTTTCAGAGTTTGCTTCTGTGGAGGCGCAGAACTTTACTGGAATACTGAGAGTAGCTGAGACACCATTCAGGCGAGTGTGGGAAAACTTACCTGTAAGAGGTGGGTGAGTCCTATTTTCAAACAGAATGAAGCATATGACCCAGATATAAAAGATTGAAAGCTGGGAGGAATTTATTGAGGATTTTTCTTTGAAATGGATTATATAGCAGTCAGTATATTTATCAGAGTGACTTTAAAAACAACCTATTAGGTTCTAAGTGAACCCATTACAGCAGGAGCCTAAAGAAGATGATAGACTACTAGCTGATAAAGACTAAACCAGCTGGCTAGGCCTGGACAGGGTGAAAGTGGGGGCGAGGGGGGAGGGCAGAGCCCTGCTACAATAATTCCAGATATAAACTAACTACCTTGGAATATATGCCAGCAATCTTTTTATTGTTACAATTTCTATATATATTCTCCCATCAAGGCATGGCAGGAAAGTCTTCAAATAAGGTCCAGCAGCATATTTACCAGGTCAGCTAAAAGCTTGAGGAACCCTGTGAACACGTGTCATAGCAGGCAAAGAAGTAGGGTGAGAGCATGAGAAGCTGGAGTGGGTGAGCTGGGCCAGATTAAGGTGACCATTAGGGATCATCGTGGCTACCACTAAAGCATGTCCTATCACACAGACTTAGATTAATGAACAGAAGAGTGGTGTATATGTGCTTCCACCACCACAGCTCAGAGACAAAGTCACTTCCTCAAAAGCTGTAGTTCCTAAGTTCTAGCCCTCCAAAGCGCCTTTCTCAGACCAGCATACCAACCTCTATACCATGAGTCTGCCATTGATTAGGCCTGTCCCCAGTGCTACTTTTAAAGCTGTACTATTAACATAGTTATTGGGAAAAATTAATGAATGAAACTACAGGGGGAAGCTTCTACATAACTGAGGACAAAAGCCCAGACCAGAATGCCCCATGTTTCCTGGCTTTGCAGAAAAGTGCCCTGTCTACTCAGCTATTTGGGGGGAAAAGATGGATTTATCTCTGTTTCATTTATTGCCCAGTCTTGCACATAGGGCTACACATCTAGCTATAATTCCTCTGGGTGTGTAAGTACCAAAAATACCTTGTACATGGCCATGAAAAATAGAATATGGCAGGTAAATGACCAAGTGTGAACACTTGGATGACCAGAAAAGGAGCATAATGCCACTCCAGGTACTTTATAGGTGAAAAAGGATCTGCTCCAGGAGTCTGGAGATCACACTGATCAACATTCTGTAACATCAGTCTCTATATAATATAATATTTGGTTCCAAGCTGTTTCTTGCCAATAATTCTAAAAGGTACAGATCCCCTCATTTTCCTTCCCAAGCCAACCATCATTATTACAATTACTCTACCTAAATGTAGCATAGAATTCAGTGACATGTATTAATTATGGTTCCTGGTAATTTCTGAAATGTGATTTGTTGTTGCATTGACTTAGAGGTTTTGAGAAGACAACCTCATATCTGTTATCAGCAGAGATCCTGGTTTTCTCTGATAAAAAGAAATCCCCAATTTTTGGATTTAAAAAACCCAATTAAAAAAACACATTTTTTTCTGTGATCAAAATGAAACACTACTGCATACATGTATAGTGGTATTTAATTTTGATCGTGGAAAAATTGTGGATTTTGGGTTACTTTTTAAATCCAGAACTTGGGGATTTGTTTTTTTTTATCAGAGAAAACCAGGATCCCTGGTTATCAGGAAGGACTGGTCCATCAGTTCTGGTTGTGCCATTTCAAACTTCTGTTTGTTTTCTTACAAGCAGCCATCTCAAGGTGCTCTGTTATTGCCTTCCTGAGATCTTCCAAGCCCGAATGAAGAATCAAGCCCCTAATTTTCCTCAAGTGTGGGAACTGAGGAAGTATCACCAGTCTTCTGTAATACAGATGTGTTAAGACGGGGTGACAACTTTATATGGCCTCAGAGGTACCATTGTTTGCAACTACCATTTCCCACTGGAGAGTCACAGCATTTTTTTCATGCAGTGAGTTCAGCTTTGAGGACCTCAATTTATGGGAGTTTTGTTCTGCCAAAGTGTTTTCATATAAATATATATATGGGGGGGGGGGGGGGAGTTGGGCTGTGTGCAAGTGGTTCTCATTCACTGTAGAATTTACTAAGTGTAAACATTCATATTTTCAATTTTTACTTACATTCATATTTTCACTGAACAAAGTAAGCAATTCATATTTCATTGGTGCTATGATGTAATTTAACAGCAGAAAAATACTGTTAAATTTAATCAAACTTTGTGAGCTTTATTACTAAAAACTCTTATTTTGGCACAGTTTTCTATCATTCTGTTGTACTGGGGACAATGGGCATGAGTGGCTACATGTTTAAATTTATATTCCTGCTAAGATTCATGCTGCTAAAATTCATAACCGATAAACTTGGGTCTGTAATTCAGATACTCCATGTATAACAAAAATGCATTTGATGGGCATTCTTGCCTTTTTATGTAGTACCTGCTAATAAGGTTATCTCAGGAAAGTGAAAATAATAATGGAGGAAAAGTACATAGTTGTTTGGATGTTAAAAAATATATAACTAATTAATTTCAGGAGGACACTCACATGAGGTCTTTTGCTTGATGTGGTTGTATTTCATGCATTTTTGAAAAAAAACTATTTTTTTCCTCAATGTAACTGCTTCTTTGAAGACAATATAAAACTCTTGGTCCATCTCAAAATCTCTGTCCTCCCCCTCCTCAGTCCCTAAATTATCATTGTATATAAACTGTCAGCACTTTTTCCTGCTCTATAATACCAGGAAAATCACTATCCATGTGACTTTAAACAAAACCTTATCTAGTATGAAAGCTTCCCTTTAAATTGATAATAGAGGGTGGGAGTTTATCATCCTGACCATCCCATAGCGGGAACAATAACTTAGTTTTTTCCACCTGAAATTTGTAAGAGATCTTTAAAGGTATACACAAAACAGGAGATAATTCATTTCTGCTGGTACAGAAGCTGCAAGTCACTTACTGAACACAGGTGTTTTTTGACAGGATCCATGTAGTACAAAATTACTCTTCTGAAGCTGGGCTTCTTTTTTTTTAAATAAATCTGGCTTTAATTTTCTTTTTCTGTTCAGAAAACTCTGAAAATTAGATATTAGTATAAACTATGGCTTTTCTTCCTATCTCCCCTGCCTTCTGCTTGACTTCTGACTAACATGGCTAACTACCTCTCTTCTTCCTATGAAGAGAGGTAGTTCCATAATGCCTCCCTAATGCCTATAATATATGGTACACTAGCTTCCTATACTATAGATTTGGAAGAGTGCAATTGTTTGTTTTAGTGATGCAAGTGTTTGTAAAGAAACACAAAGATGACAACTTTATTGTCAATGTGATTAACTATTTAACTGATGATCATTTTGGTACACATTTCTATCTAATTACTAAACCCAGCAATAGCAAAGTCTTAATTTTCAATGGCAAAAAAACCCAAACAAGAGCTGTCTCCTGTCTACATATCAGAACTTTTGGCTTTTTCCTATATGCATGAACAATACTTAAAACCGTGATTCATCTAAAGCTAAAAAAATAAAATAAAATCATGCTGTAAATTGAAAGACATATAAACATGCAAAAGGATATCCTCAAATAATTGTGGCTACTAACATGCTTACATAGGCAATTAATACTGCCATAGTTCCCAGTTATCTCATATAGCTCAGCTTTGCCAAATATATCACTAGCTTTGGGAGAGCATTTAGATATATTAACCTGCAGAATTACATGGAGCTATAACTGAGATCAACAAATGGAATAGAGGATAGATGCATTTGCTAGGTTTCACTTTTCCAAAGTTATGAGGTATATCTAAAGGCGGCAAGAATATAAATAAAATAAACATGTGTAAATAGGCAAGAACGTTTTACTACATCTATAATTCATAGAAATATATTACAGTTTTTACCCAACTTTACAAAATCAGTTTTAAAGGTGATGGGAAAGATTACAGTGAGGCAAAGGTCCTAGACACTGAGAGCATCTACACCTTCATTAATGCATCATAATTACTACACATTGAGTACCTGTAATAACAGGTACTAACTCAATGAGCAATAACCAGCAATACTGCACAGTAGCACCAGTGCATGCCTTTTAACTGATGCTAATGCGAAGTAGACTGATTCTACTATGCATTATTATATTAGCATGACTTTCGCCGTGATGCACTAATGCATAGTAGAATTAATTTGCTGTGCATTTAGTGTCTCATGTAGATGCGGCCACTATGTATCTCAGGATGAAAATTGTAATTAAATGAATAAAAAAAACTACACTTAAAAAAAAAAAAGAAAGCAACCTATTTAGAAATTCTTAATAAAACAATAAATACTTTTTTACTAGTTAGATGTCCAGAAAAAAATACATTTTGAACTATGCACTATGTAAAAGTTTACCTTGAGAACTTTTAAAATGCATTATTAATGCCAAAATTAACATGAACACTAAAATATAGTTTTAAATGTATTAAAATATCCATCCAAGAACACCCTGTAGTCACAGGTTTTTTTCCTTGAATGTATTAGTGTGAACTATTTGTATAGTTTATGAAATATAGATCCTTCTCAAGATTGACATTCCTAACATATTTCACCATCTCCTTGTTTAATATCGTTTCAAGTAATTTAACTTCCATGCATCAGTTGAAAATTAATCAACCTGCAACTTGCACATTTGTCAACATTCAACACTCCTTTCAATGAAGAGTAGACATAAAATCTGGAGTTCAGAGTTACAAATAATGTAAATTCAGAGCAAAAATACGCTTATCAGAAAAAGTATTTTAAAGGTCATCTCTTTGAATAAAAAC